CCTGTGTCTGAGGCAGCTACAGTTCCCCACCGCCACGTCTCGGGACATCCCCGTCCAAACCAACTATTCTAGGCTTGTGGGCGCTTCATATGGATTTATAACTAAAGCAAAGGTGGTGCAAGGGGAAGCAGCGCCAGGGCCCTGGGTTCAATTCATGGGGTGCTGTCTGGGTGGAGTTTGCATGTTGTCCCCTTGTTGGTTTCCTCTCGGTGCTTCTGGGAATATTGGCACTGTTTGTGTCTGTGATGGGCCCCATTATGGACTGGCATCCCGTCCAGGGTGTATCCTGCCTTGTGCCCAGGATTCACACTGTATTCCCGTGCTGGATAAAGCAGTTAAAAGATGGATGATGATTCTGAGCAAATTGTCACTTCTGATCGACAATGTTTCTACCATCAATGATGGAAGGAAGGGGTGGCGGGGTGGGGAGCACTGCTGCCTCGCAGCCCTGGGGCCCTGGGGTTCAGTTCCTGGGGGGCTGTGCGTGTGGAGTTTGCATGTTCTCCCTCCGTTCCTGTGGGGATCCTCCGGGGGCTCCGGTTTCCTCCCACAGCTCAAAGCCAAAGACCCCAAATCGGATGAAGCAGTCCGAAAACGAATGCGTGGAGAACGAAAACCATACCGTTACCCACAAGACCACTCGCGACCCCTGCGTCACTATTGGCTGACATCTCCAGCTTATTCCCTGGCGCAGGTGAGCTCCAGTTTCTGCAGCTGGAGCTTGGAGTCCTACAGCAACCCTCAGCAAAACTCTGCTACATTAAAGCGAGCTTGAAATTGCTATTTCCCTTCTTCCTAAATGGGAGCAGAGTCCTTGATTTAGCATGATTAGGATAGCTTGCTTTAAAGACCCCCGCTGAGAAGCACAGTCTTCCAGTGTTGGGAAACCATGTGCTTGGTGTTAATACATCAGCTATGATGGGGGGTCTTGGCACCTGACTTTTTCCTATTTTACCATCATCCATTTCCCACCCAATCTTCTAGAACAGATTCCTGTTTCTACTGGAGGCCTTCCACAAGCTCCTTGAGCCCTTAAACATGTGAGATTATGCTACTCTCATCGCAAGATGACAGTTCGCAGGAGGGAGGGCCAGGATTATTACAATAAACCAAAAGGCCTCTGCGAAAATCTATTTGATTTCATTTGCAAAACCCACGTCAATCGAATGCCATTTAAAACGAGACCTCAAAGCTCAAAAATAACTTTATGTTTAAAAAAAACAATTCGATTAAGGGCAAATTGACAATCTGCTAACCCACAAGGCTGTCAAGCATAAATCGCAATTACATATTTACTCCGAGAATAACTCTCAGCAGAAATGGGGTCGTTTTCCGTGATTGATGGTGTCATAGAACCACTTCCACTGAAATGTGTTTTTCGTGCAGCAAGCAGTGTTAGCAGACTGTACACTGCCAGTGGAGAGAGAGAGAGGCAGTAAAGCTTAAACGTTTAGCAAATAAAATGCTGCACGCATATTTTAACAATGATAATAGATCCGGCTGAAAGCTTTCATAGTGAATCAGACAGTCTGAATGGCGCGTGAAAACTGAGCTGTCACTGATCCTCTTGATCTGCCGTTACGACAGTGTTGGACGAGATCGTGTTCAGGAGACGCTGCAGCCCATTTCCAATCGTTTAAAAAAACATTTTTTCCCTTTAGATGGGAGGTGGTGCAGCAGTTAGGATTGCTGGGGCCCCGGGTTCAATTCCTGGGGTGCTGTCTGTGTGGAGTTTGCATGTTCTTCTTGCGTGATTGTGGGTTTTCTCTGGGTGCTCTTGTTTCCTCAGATTTTGTTTCTTATAAAATGTTTTGTTTCCTTAGATTGTTGAGGGACATACTGGCTTCTGGAAAAATCGGCCCTGGTGTGCGTGTATCTGTGTATGTGTCCTGTGATGGAGTGGCGTCCCGTCCAGGGTGTGTGTGCGTGTGTCCAGTGATGGAGTGGCGTCCCATCCAGGGTGTACCCTGCCTTGGGCCCATTGCTTGCTGGGATAGGTTCTGCCTCCCCGCTCAACCCTTTGCTGGATCAAGTGGTTAGAAAATGGATGGATGTTAATATTGAACAAAGACACAGCTTACTTCAATTTCATTCCCCCATCTCATAAGTTTCACATGTGATCACAAAAAAAGTAGCCGGACGTTTGCACTGCAATCAGCCACCTCGCCTAAATTAGCCCAACATTTCTCGGAGAGTGGAAACAAAAACTTGTACTGTAAACACTCCCAAGCGAGTACAACATCTATATTTATTTATCTGCAGAACCAATAGACCAAATTCCATTGAGTAAATATAAGAACACCACTTCTAAGATAGTCTTTACCATACTAGGGCTTCCTTTAATGATCAATTCCAGTGGAACATGGGAACAGAAGGCAACTCATTTCTGCTTTGCGCGGAGATGTTCACATAAATAAAACAGTCAACTGCACTGTGCATTTGGTACTGAACTAGGCCAACTTTCATTTCGGGAAATGAAGGCTCCCTTCAGAAAGAACTTCTCAAGTTTACAGACAATGGCAAAGGAGGAGAGCGAGTAAACACCGTGGAAGCTACAAAGCAAATTCAAAAAGACATCCGGTCTGCAGGAACATCTGGCAGACCACAGCTGCCGCTAGCAAAAACAAGCTACAAATGAAAGATTGGAAACGCCAAACTTGACATTATTTTATTACTGAAAGAGATGCCGGCGGTTGTGTTGACCCATTTGCATCTTCTAGAATATGTTGGAAGAATATCAAAAACCCAGTGTTAAGACATGCACTTTAAACTATATTAAAGTGGCTTAAGACTTCAATTAAAATGAACTGATGCACTGTTAACGTATGATGATCTTTCGTTTCGGTTACTCAAGAAAAATAAGAAGGTACAGTTCCTGAAATCAGTACAATAAAAAAAAAGAAAAAACAGCGATAGGGAATCCATTTGAAACAGGGAACAGGAGGCACTTTACACAAAGCGTGGTGGGAGTATGGAACAAGCTGCTTAGCTCAATTCGCACCCGGGCAAGGTGGAAGGGCCAAATGGCTGGCCGCGTTTGTAACCCTCCCTGCGTTTTGATTTCAGCCAATGTCCAGCCCGTCTGTCTGCCAACGGTCAACCAGGTGTTCACTAAAAACACTGTGTGCTGGATCACTGGATTCGGGACACTGCTGGAGGGGGCAGGTAAGGGCACCATCTTGGGCTGAAGGAGGGGGGAAGGGTGCAAATAGAGAAGTAAAAAAACACTCCAGAAATCGGGAGAAAAGGCTTTTCCGAATGTGCACAAGGTTATTCGGGCAGGGGAAGGGCTTTCAGCAGCACTGAGCACTTCGGGTCAAAAGTTTTGAGTCTCGAGGCGCGGCTCCGGGTCAAAACTGACTCACGGTGAGGATGATGCTCATTCCAGTAAAGGTCACCAAGATGGTAGAGCAGACTTGGCCAAACAGGATCGACCAGTTGGAGGAAAATTCCACCAGTACTAGTCGTTCCTTACCACTCTTCCTAAGGGGAGAGACGGTGAGAGGTTCTCGAGAGACGGACCAGTGTTGGGTTCACAAGGCCAGCGGAAACAACCCTGGTCTGGGCCAGGGCCAAATTCAGGTTAAAAAGGGCGTGCAGATCCACCACACTCGGCTACCAAATACAGGGGGATCCATCACAGAAGGACAGAGTTGCGAGTCAGATGGAGACTGACTCAGCGCGTGTGCTTTTCTCCAGCCCAGGGCTCCACCAACCTGATGGAGGCGTCAGTGAGCATCATTGACTTCTCCACCTGCAACAGGCCCACCATCTACAACGGCATGCTCACCCAGAGCATGATGTGCGCAGGGAACCTCAATGGTGGAGTCGACTCCTGCCAGGTGAGCAGGACAGCTTTGTTCCCCGCTTGTTACAAGACGCGCGTTTCTCTCCTCCTGATGCTCCGTCCGGTTCCATGGTGTCCATTTCTATCAGTCCATTTTCTAGCCACTTTCTCCTGTACTGGGCCCTGGGGGAGCCATCCCAGCAAGCAATTGGGCACAAGGCAGGGTACACCCTGGATGGGACACCAGTCCATTGCAGGGCAAACCCACACACCAGGGCCAGTTTTCCTAGAAACCAATTAATCTCTAAGTATGCGTTTGGACTGTAGGGAAACCAGAGCACCTGGAAGATCCCTGTGGGATCATGGGGAGAACATGCAAACTCCACACAGACAGCACCCCAGGCCCAGAATAGAACTCGAGGCCGCAGTTCCATGAGACAGCAACACTGATCCCTGCTTCATCGTGCCGCCTGTGTCCATTTCCCTCCTGACTATTTTCCACAACTAGCGGTTTTGTTCATTCCCAGTAACCCAGCTGGCTGGCTGGCTGGTTCAACTTTGTAAACCCAGAGAATGACCCCTAGGAATCATGGGGATCCTAAAGCAAGCCACTCATCTGTAGAATCAATGTGCTACTGAACCCTGTGATCCCTGCAGCAAGGCTGGAAAGGGGAATTATGGGATACATCCAGGAAGATAGCTCCCTCTCACTTATATTCTTTACCTGGATTCTTCAAATCTATCCTTCCTTTCAGGGGTCGGATCTGGATGTGCAGTAGAGAGCTTTAATTAGGGGGGGGCGGTTGGGTTGGAGCAGTACTGATTAGCCTCAGTGTTGTTAGAATGGGGGGGTGCACTGTGCTGTTTTGCCTTCAGTTTTGTCTTGGATCACATGGGAAGACAGTGTTCTAGTCTGGGGTGACAGCTTGGCCGATAAAATGGCTCTTTATTGCCTTTTGATCCATTACCACCGTGTAGCAGCGCCCCTCTGGTGGAACAGTGGCAGTTCAAATGTGGGATCTAATCCTGCTCGTGATAAATCACGCGCAGCTCACAGACCAAAAGATGCTCTGTGCAGATTCTCGACCTGGGGACACAGGTACAGTAACCCAGCTGCCAAAGACTTTACTGTGGCCAGACCTCCAGGCCTGGGTATTTGACTCTCGTGACAGCAGTGCAAATGTTCTACCAGCAGTTCCGCGCGATCGGCACTCACCACTCACCGAACTCGGGCCCAGTTCCTGCACCTGTTCCAGGTGAAACCGCAAGAGAAGATCGCGCATTTCAGAGATGTCTTACATTTAAAAAAAAAACTATAGAAATGCACGTCTGGGGCAAATGAGGAAGTATACAGTATCAAAATATCCTCCCGGTCATAATCGGAGCTCTCATCCCAATCCAAAACGGGACAAATGTCACATAGTTGGGGCTCACGGTTGACAGAATGCAATGAACTGGCTCACCAGGAACACGATTACATCGTTTTCCCGGAATCTGAGATTCCAGTTTCCCTCAAATGAAATAACAGGAATTTCAATTAGCACACATGGGTCACGCACTTGCTTGGAAACTTGCTGAGATTACTAGCAACGGCCTCATTCTTTCTCCTCAGACAACAGGCAGAGTTTCTAGATTCTTACAAACAGGGCGCAAGAGAGGAATTTTAATGGTAGCAGCTCCAGTAACAATCACAAAGTGGCCATACTAAATTACAAAATTAAGGTTTGAGCAAGAATACGTCAATGGAAGGAAAAAGATCAAGGACATTGGACAATTGAAATCCAGCTCTCAGATAGCACTTACAGTTTCTGTGCGATTCAGATGAGCAGCCTAGCCTTATGCCCCATTCCAGACAGACTCAGAACTTTTACGCAAAAAAACAAACCTTCATTTGGAGGTCTTCCATAACATCAGTTGAGCAATACCTACCTATTGTGAGACAAATCCTTTACCTTGAAAAGTGGAAAACTTCTCAGAATCAAACACAGCTTTTTTTCCCCTCCTTCCTTCTGATTCAGCACTCACTCCAACTCTAGAAAGCCTCCTTCGTCCAATAAAGCCCAGGTGTGATTTACAGGTAACTCAACAACACACACCTGGTTTGAATTTTTGTTGGGCGCCTCGGTACCCATTGTGGCTCAAGACTGAATCACGGTCAGGGCTTGAGCCAAGATGGCTTCCTGCTATGGAAGCCACCAAGGGACATTCAGAGCAAGCCAAGGATTCAGGGGATGTAGACTCCATCACGCCGCCTGCTCCTTCAATTTGAAATCGAGAGCGAGAGCAAATAAAGCGCTCCGAGGAGCGGAGGGGAAAGGCGTCAGCTCGACGTGCTGCTAGCGACCCCTGTGTATATTTGTAGCTGAGCCATGGTGGGATTCGGCTGTAGCTGTCTAACGCGGCTGTGGGGGAAAAAAAAACAACTGTGGGTATACAGCGCAGCTCTTAGAGAATAAAATGACGCTCCACTGTGCCGCAATATTTATATTCATACTTTGGTTTTTCTACCTGCATGCAAAACCCGGCACTGGGCTTCTTCGCTTTGCTAGTGAAATTTGATTTCTTTGCAATGGGTGGATTACATATGAAATATATAATCCAAAAGTGGCCAGCAGAGGAATCCGACTCCGTTGGGCCCCTGAGCAAGGCCCTTAACCCCAGCTGCTCCAGGGGCGCTGTATAAATGGCTGACCCTGTGCTCTGACCCCAAGCGTCTCTCCCTCTCTGTGTGTCTCATGGAGAGCAAGCTGGGGTCTGCGAAAAGAAATTCCTAATGCAAGAAATTGTACAGGGCTCATAAAGATCTTATCTTATAAACTGGGGGCTCTGGGTTCAATTCCTGGGGTGCTGTGTGTGTGGAGTCTGCATGTTCTTCCCCAATTTGCATGGGTTTCCTCCCACAGTCCAAGGACATGCTGGTGGGTTCGTGGGCAGGATGTCTGTGTCTGTGTGCGCCCTGCGGTGGACTGGCGTCCCGCCCAGGGTGAACCCTGCCTTCGGCCCAGTGCTTGCTGGGATAGCCTGAACTGGATAAAGCAGTAAGAGGATGGATGGCTGGATACCAAGAGGAGAGCTGGAGTAAAAGGGCCTCTTTTTTTGTTCCCGGCAGGGGGACAGCGGGGGGCCCCTGGTGTGCCAGGTGCAGGACCAGTGGTTCTTGGCCGGGGTGACCAGCTGGGGCGTGGGCTGTGCCCGCAGAAATAAACCCGGCGTCTACAGCAACGTCACCCAGCTGTTGCCCTGGGTCTACGCCCACATGGAGGTGAGCCCTTCCCTCTCCCTCTCCCTCTCCCTCTCCCCCGAATCCCCGTCCAACTCGGCATCCCAATGTGCAATTCACGCTGCTATGTGGAAAGTTCTTTACAAATGCATGTCATGAGGTTTGTCTGTCTGCTGCCCTGTTTTAATTCGTACGGTATATGTTGGATGGATGTCTCATCTGTGTTCTTGCTGAACCGATAGCAAATTCCAGCAGCCTTTGTCGTGGGGCGATAAAGAGACCCAGGTGGAGCTAATGCGTTTCTCCTGTTGTCTTCCCCCACAGCTAGAGAAGCCTTAACAGCACTTTACCAACGGCGCACAGGGGACAGGGGCTGCCCACGCTCGTGTCTTCCAGAACCCATCGCTCTTCCGAATATCCAATGCCCTTGAAGGGCACGCGAACGGGGCTTCGGGAACGGCACACCTGCCTCTGCCTCACTGTAACTTCTGGGTGTGATCTTGGGGACAGTAAACTGTGTGGCCAGCGGCTGGAAGCTGTTCCCAAGCACTTTCCTTTCCATTAAAGCTTTCTTCTCCCCTGGGGGGGAAAATCTGTTTCACGGCGCAGTCCAGTACAACCAGGATGGCCGGATGTTCATCGCTTCGCTGTTCCTGTGGTGTGTGTGAGCATCGATCTGGAAGTTTGTAATGAGTCAATAACTATAATAACAAAAGATGCACTAACGGCACCCCGTCTCTTACTGGGGTTTTATTATGTAGTTGTGGCAGTGAACAAACATCACATCACCCACACTGCCGGGCCTTTCTTCTGGAATAATCTGTGGAGTACTGCGCTTTGCTCAAGCAATGAATCCCAGATCTAGAGGGAGTTCGGCAGGGCCGGAGGCCTGACCGCTCCGGATCTGGTACTCCGCGCTGCGAGAGCAATGTTTGGTAGGGATGTGGGGACACCTGTCTCCTCTTTATTTATACAGCTCAGGCTTTCTTCTCCCCCGAGGAGGGGGGAATCTGTTTCACGGCACAGTCCAGTACAACCAGGAAGACCAACATCGCCAACAGACAGGGCAGTACAGGAGTGTTACAGGAGATATGAGTGTTGCTTTACATTGTTTGAGAGAGATTGCAGGGGGGGGGGTCAGAGATTTTCTGAGTCTGCTGCTGTCACACCTGGGGACTCGGGTGTCTCCCAGGTGGAAGAAGTGTAAACTCACAGAGAGACACACTTCCCATAATGCACGTGGCCTTCTTTACAGCCCTCTGTGTGTGGAGCATACTGACGCCAATCTGATCTCCCCCAATTACCCTGCCACCTTCCCCACCTATTACAATTAACAGCGCTGATGTTGCCACGCCGACGAGTGAGACAGCATGTGTTAAGCCACTTTCAAAAATAACAAGCGAAAAAAGAGTTTTATCTACCTTACAATCGCTGAGCCTCCTCAGGGAAAAAAAATCTAATTTTGTTTTCAATAAAGGGGGTCACAACATGTGTCCCATCTCAGGTTTCGGTCCCAGGTACTCTACAGACTGAGCATCAGTTTCCGAGGGGTGTTGCATTTTTTCCCCAAAGTCCGCAATCAGCTCCTTGGTTTTCAAACCATTTAGCTTCAAAGAGAAGCCATCATCACTCCATTCGCTTTTGAGTTTAACCATTTCCTTTGACCACTGAAGAGACGCGCGATAGGGGAACAGAGATCATGCTAAGAGCATTGGCATCTGTTACTCCATTAAGGTTTTCCCCTGAGTCTCTAAACCGATGGATTTTCATGCAAAGCAAACATCTGCTTTGAGATTTGCAATTAGCCTTATGGATGAGTTTAACTCCTTGAAACCCTAAGGGTTAGGATGGTGCATTTCAGCTCAACCCAGTGTCATTTTGTTCAGTTGTTCTACACTTAAGACTGTCACTTTAGCTCTGTCCTGTCACTGATGTCTAGTGATTAGTGAAACAAGTTCACACCCCCTTCTCTCTTCCCCCCATAAAAAGCTGTAAGCAGCCATCTGCCAGTGTGACCCAATCTCAAGGAGCTGGAAAGTGAAACTCATCTTACTGGGCATTCGAAACAGCATCATCTCAGCTGGAAATGAAAGAGGACTGGTAAGACTAGGAGTTCGAGGAAATTGCTTGGGAACAGCGGCATGTGGAACGACCCTGGTGAAAATACCAGGTGAAATGACGTCTACAAACCCTGTCGCACTTCACAGCACAAACCCGCCTGGAGTTTTATTCTGAAACACTAGCCTGTCTTCCACCGTTCGTTTACAGAGTGGGAATAGTCACCTTAGCCCTTGCAATCCACTGCATTGTTGTACTTGGAGCAAACCAGTTGCTTATACTGTATGTAAAAAGCTCCTTGCATTTATAAAATAATAATAAATACACTTACAGTATAGAGCTCTTTTCTGGACACCACTCAAAGCTCTTTACAGGTCATGGGGATCCCCTCCACCCCCACCAGTGTGCAGCCCCACCTGGATGATGCTCCAGTCCTCTCCCCACACACCAGCTCTCAGTGGGGAGGAGAGTCAGTTCAGAGATGGGGATTATTAGGAGGCCATGACTGGGAAAGGCCAGGGGGAAATCTGGCCAGGACACCGGGGTAACACCCCTACTCTTTTTGAGGAACACCCTGGGATTTTTAATGACCACAGAGAGTCAGGACCTTGGTTTTACGTCTCATCTGAAGGAAGACACCTTTTTACAGTATAGTGTCCCCGTCGCTATACCGGGGCATTAAGACCCACACAGACTGCAGGGTGAGCGCCCCCTACTGGCCCCACTAACACCTCTTCCAGCAGCAGCCTTAGCTTTCCCAGGAGTCTCCCATCCAGGAACTGGCCAGGCTCACAACTGCTGTGTTGCTGAGCTTCAAGTAGGGCTGCTAGTTGTGAATTCCAGATTGATACAACTGCTGGCTGCATCACCCTGTAAAAAAAGCATTTTTCATCTGGAAGGAATCCAGATGCTTATTCTGTAGGAGAAAATGCACTTAATACACCATGAAAGCATCCACTGGGGTAACACAGCAGCCCCAGTATGCTGCAGATCAGGGGGTGGAGCGACAAAGTGCTTTATTAGTTGAATTAAGGGGTACCTATGGAGATAACATTGTTCAATCCCTGAGTAAACTTTAGCCAATATGCTGAGATCCCTAGTGTTCAGAATAGTGCCACCTGCTCTTTAAACAACCACATAAACAGGACCTTAACATCTCATCCAAAGGACAACACTTCCTAAAGCACACTCTAGCCAGTCAATTAAGCAGATTAGAAAGTCAAGACCCAGCCACAAGAGCGCCACCTTCTGGCCCACCCATTAGCAGAAAATGGGGGGGTCTGGATCCACATTTTCTGCTGTCCGCTTCATGAATACTTCAGTGACCTCACAGAGAAGACATCCGATACCCAGGCAGCACAGTGGTGAGCATTGCTGCCCAGCAGCAGTGCTGGGGCTCTGGGTTCAGTCCCTGGGGTGCTGTCTGTGTGGAGTTTGTATGTTCTCCCCGTATTTGCACGGGTCTCCTCTCACACTGCAGTGAAATCTCTGCTGCACAACCTGTACTTATTCGCTCGTCCATCACAGTGCATTAGTCACTACAGTGACTAGTGAGCAGGAAGGGCCGCTTCACGTCCCAGTTCTCGCAAACTTGTGAACTTTCAGTACAAAATACAGTATGCAGAAATACAAAGTTCAAGATTGATCTGAATGCGGTCAATGTTGCGATACCATCAATGAATTAATTTCCGTTACTGAGATTAAACCGGTCTGAGAAATTGGGACAGTGGTTCCCCTTTAAGACAGCCTACGAGGATCACGCAAAAGAGACATAATTCTTCCCCAGAACAAAGCTCAAACCTGTTTCCCTGCTATATGCAAATCCTGGCTTCAAATGTATCATAATCTATTTAACTGTGTAAAGCATATGAGATGCATTTAATTACCGACAGAATTGCTTTCCTCTCAACAGACTAAAATTCTGCCTACCAAAGTCTGATTACTAGAGCTGAAGTACGTGCAATCTCTTTCCCTATTACACGGTTTTATCGACAATTTGCCATGCTTAGCGTCTTTAGCCAAAACCTTGTTTTTACAGCCACCTCTACGTTTATCTGACGCACGAGGAAGGAGAGATACAGCCTCCCCCTAAAAACCGCACTGATATATTTAGATCTCACTAGTGCTTTCATGGGCAGCAGTGGTTTAGCTTTGCTGCCTCGCAGCACTGGGACCCTGGGTTCAATTCCTGGGGTGCTGTCTGTGTGGAGTCTGCACGTTCTCCCCATGTTCATGTGGGTTTTCTCCAGATGCTCCGGTTTCAATTCACGGCCCAAAGTCGTGCTGGTAGGTTAATTGGCTTCTTGGAAAATCAGCCCTTGTGTGTGTGTGTGTGTGATAGACTTCCCACAACCCTGTCCTGGATAAAGCAGTTTAGAAAATGGATGGTTCTTTCATCGTGATTAAAATATGGTGTGTGCTTCGGAGACTCATCTTGACTTTGTACAATGGTTGAAACAAACCAAGAGATTCATTTTTAAAACACTCTTGCTGCTCTTTTTTGTGATACCGTGCTGGTAGTTTGTTTCCAAGACACCAGACTTTTCTTGAGTTCTAGTAAAACAAGGATTGTGAAAAAGGGAAGTGTAATGCACGCATGAAAAGGAAACGAGTTACGGTTTCACATGCTTGCCTGCCGTTGCATTTTAAATCATTACAAATCGTCACAGATTTCTGTCTGTGCGTGCCCTGAGACAGACTGGCATCCCGTCCAGGGTGTAGCCTGCCTCGCACCCGTTGCTTGCTGGGATAGACTCCGTCTCCCCTGTGACCATGAACTGGATAATGCAGTTAGAAACTGGATGGATGGATGAATATCAGGATCTGACGAAAAACTGAAGCGACAGTTGGAAATATTTGCTTCAGCTACATTTCAAGTGAACCACAGCTCTGTTAAAGTCTATTTAAATGGCTTCCACCACTGTGATCACTATTCCACTCTATTCTGTGCTGTCGTGGTTTGTGTTGCTTGTTAGATCCAAACATTACAGAATGAGAAGAGCCTCGTCTAGCCCATTTGGTAGCGAATAGCTAATCGAGCCAGGGAACTCAATCAGCCATTTCTTAAAAGAGGCCAAGGCACGTTCTGAACTATAAGTGACAAAACTGCTTAGCACTAACAACTCTTGGGGAAACAATGGAGTCTGCATGGCTCTAGAAGAGGTGACCAATTGTTAATTAATTGTGGAGTGTATTACACTAAGGGGTGACCTCCACCAGAGATAAAGCGCTCAGGTGTCCAGTTAATCAACATCTGTCTCTCTCTCTCCTAACAGATTGCTTAATTAGGGGGAAGGGAACCAATTAAGGACCCGTTAGCTGGTCTCCAGGATCCACAGGTTATCCACAGTGGGCGATGTGTTGTTTACTCTCCTAGTCTCTGCAGTGTCTGCCGGATCAGAGGTGTCTCGTCCTGGCTCTGGGAAGCTGATGCATCTGTAGGTTGTCTCTTCTTAGTACCTGAGACACTGGAAGAAACTGTCAAACTGCTCCCATTAAGCCCTTAAGGAGCCGGTGGAGCTGGTTACGGACTGAGTTGGAATGAAGGATGAAGACTGCCCAGACCTGGTATAGATAGACACTGGCAGAGTTCCTGCGGAGCAAGTCAGGAACATGACAGCTCAAGTCTGCCCTTGTTGTTAGAGGCCCGACAAGTACTGTGGCAGGCCATCCATTTTCTAACTGCTCCTTCCAGCTCAGCTGCGGGGAAGCTGAACTCTATCCCAACAAGCAACAGGCACAAGGCAGGGCACACCCTGGATGGGACACCAGTCCGTCACAGGGCCACACACAAACACGCACCGGGGTCAATTTTCCCAGAAGCCAATTAACCCACCAGCATGCCTTCAGACTGTAAGAGGAAACTGGAGCTCCCAGAGGAAACCCACACAAACCCAGGGAGAACATGCAAACTCCACACAGACAGCACCCCAGGGATTGAACCCAGGGCCCCAGCGCTGTGAGGCAGCAATGCTCACCACTGAGCCACTCTGCTGAACTGCTGTGGGAACCTTTATCTCAAAAACTATCTGATAAAAAAAAATCATTAATCTCCACAGCGCCTTTGCGATGTGAATTGGTGATGATATTGGGCTAATTGTGAGATCCTGCTTCAGTAAAGCGCGTACAGTACACCGTTATGTTGTAGGTCACCAGGGGCTGGGTTCAGTCTTTTCCTCTCTACCGCTGCGTGACTTTCCGTCAGCAGACGAAAAATATCCTCCTGAACTGTCTTTTGGTTCTCGGCTTGTAGTTCTGGGAATTTCTAGGAATTGCGGGATGCGCCTGGTTTAAAAACGGTCGCTATCCAGCCGGTCTCTCCTGTGGGATGGGCACTTGTCTCTCTCCGTTGTTGAACATCGCGACACGCCTATCGCCGGCCCATGCGCTTAAACACACACACACCACCCCTTCTCCTCCCAATGTCATTCCCCTTGTCTTCTCCTGATCCGAAAAAAACAAAACAATTTCAGTCCATCGTGGCTGAACTGTCTCGTTTTTCGAGCGCAATCTGCGCCTTTCTCTCTCTATTGAGGGGCAATTTGCACTCCAGTACCCAGATTGAGGATACTGGATTGGAACCAGTGCTGACAACCTCGATACTGGACACAGAAGTGTACCTAGAATTAAAAAAAAATGGAAACTGGACACAGGACTGTACCCAGAACTAAAAACCGGGGTGAAAAACGAGTGTCGCCAGACTCCTCACAGTCCCTAACGCTCCCTGCTGCCCAGAGCAGGCTTCCGCCTGGCGGTCAGGGCTGGGTTATCTGTTGAATGAACGAGGCTGCTTCCTCCTCTGGACTGTCATTATTATTAATAATTATTATTATTATCCTTCTTATAAAGAAATATCTCCCGCCCCCCTCCCGTAACCAGAGCCCACCGCCTCGCCAGACTGTGAGTCGCGCTCAGTCAACGGCGTGGGGCGTGTG